GCTGGGTGGTGCTTGGTTGCCAGCTGGGGTTAAACCATGGCAGTGAGAGAGAGAACAGTGCTCTTGCGCTCTTGGTGGAGAGGTGTGGGGGGTGGAGGGGTGAGGGGGGTGTGAGTGTGTGTAGTGCAAGAGAATTTGTGTGTGAACAGCTCTCTCTCTCCCTAAGTATATGTATGTATATACATGTAGTGAGCGAATTACATGTGTGTACAGCTGCCCCCCCCTTTGTATACACACGTGTATGTATGTGTGTGTAGCAAGAGAACTGTGTGTGAACAGCTCTCTCCCTAAGTCTATATATGTAGTGAGAGAATTATGTGTGTGTATTCTGTATATAGAGTATATATGCATATATATGTATACATACAGCAAGAGAAAGGCGTATCGTGAGAACAGCTCAGTATATAGATATATATGCATATATATATGGAGAGAGAATAGTGTGTGTTTGTGTAAGCAGCACTCTAAGTATATATGCATATATAGAGAATTATGTGTGAACAATCTCTCTGTATACATGTATACATGCATCTATATAGAGACAGTATTGTGTGTGTGAGAAAAACTCATTTGCTTTCTACATATGTATATCCGTACAGAGAGAGACTACACACACACACACGCACGCATGCACGCACTATCGCATACATTTCTGCACCCCAAAGATCATACATGTATGTGGGGTGGGGGGAGATAGAATGATGGAAAATGTATGTGTGAGAGAATAGCTCTCACTCTTTTTCTCAAATATATATGCATATATATCTAGAGAGAGAGAGTAATGTTTGTGAACAGCTCTTGCTCTCTGTGTATGTATGTAGCTATGCATATATATGTATATAACAAGAGAGAATACTATATATATGTATTTGTGCACAAACAGCTAAGTATAGGTGTATATATGCAATTCTATATATCAAGGGGGGGTATTGTGTGTCTGTGTGTGAGATAGCAGATGCTCACTCTCTCAGTATGTGCGTATATGTGTGTATATATATATATGTGCATACAGAAAGAGGTCAAGAGAAAAGAGTGTGTGTTGAGAGAGAGAACAGGTCTCTCGCCCCCATAGCAGAGTGAGTGAGTGAGTGTGTGTGTGTGTGTGTGTGTGTGGTGTGTGTGTATGCATGTGTGTTTGTGTGTGTAGTGAGACTATTGTGTGTTGTGTGTAGGCTCTCTCCCTCCCCCCATTTCTAGATATGCCTATATAAATATATAGGCATATATACTGACAGAAAACTGTGTGTGAACCTCTCACACTGTATATATGTATATATGTGCACACATATATACCCCCCCCCCCGAGATAGAAGTGAGGTGTGGCTCTATATGTTTATAAATATGTATGCATATATGCCTATATATGTGTGTGTGTGTGTGTGTGTATATATAGCAAGAGTGTGTGAGAACAGCTCACTCAGTATATGTGTATAAATGCATATACAGTGTGAGACAAGCGTGTGTGTGTCTGTGTGACCAGCTCTCTATTTATGTATGTATATATGTATATGAGAGAGAGAGAGAGAGAGACATGTATGTGAACAAGACTCACTCTCTGTCTGTGTAAGTATATATGTACATATAGGGAGAGAATGGGGGGGATGTTGGGGCTATTTTCTCCCATTCTCTGTATCTCTCCCTCTCTGAGAAGCACACGTACACACACACAGCCTCCCCCCATATATTTTATTCAAGGATTTATATCTTCATATATTTATACGTGTGTGCTGTTTCCTACCATCTCTTTGGGGGGGAGGGAGAGGAGCACGCAGCCAGACACCCCGGGTGCGCTGCGTGTGTGGGTGTGTGGTGTTCAAGCACTGCGCTCGCTGCGCACACTCACAGCCACACAAACGCGCGTGAGCCCAGTGCGCTGCCCCGCCTCCCGCCTCTCTCTCACACCCCCACCCATCCATATATATTTTATTTAAATATTTATATGTTTATGTAAATATTTTAAAAATATGTACCTAGGCGTTTATGTGTATGCATGCACTTACATTTCTTTTAAATTTACATATAGCTATTACAATAGATAATAACTATTATATATTACCCATATATAATACACACAACATACATACACATTCCCCCTATACAACCATAATATATAGCCAGCTTAGATGTAAGTTTCCATTTGGTTGCAGCATTAGATCTACACATGTAGGCACTTACATGTTTGCATGTTCTGCACACGTACCTATACATTGCACATCCTAACCCACCCACGTCTCAGCTGTGCAGGCGGGGCGGTGGGTGCCGTGTCCCGGGGGT